CTGGAATATTTACTTGATCTGGAAGGTCAACGGAAGTGGCCTCTTACAAAATCTGAGCAAACGAGCAAGTACTCTGCCCGGATCTAACGGCAAAGTTATATCACAGAGTTCAAGAGAGCTGCTCAAAGCATCCCCGAGATGTGCGAAAGGCACGTGGCACGATGCAGAACACGGCACCTTTTATCTCAGCGGCTCCCCCGGTGACACACAGGGGCTCAGCCAGCTGTCCCTCACGCCGCAGGACCCGCAGGCGGGCGCACGGCGGCCGCACGCTGACCGCGCGCAGCGGATCCCCGCTCCCGGCTCCCCCCCCGCAGCTCGCGGCGCCGAGCCCGGCAGGGGGCGGCCGGTCCGTCCCGGCACGGCTGATGAAATCGCCCTCCCCGGGCCCAGCGCAGCGCTCTCCGCCCGCAGAATCCCGCAGGGGAGCGCGGTGCGGATCAACCCGGAGCCGCATTCCGACCCCGCGCGGCCCCGCTCGCACTCACCGCGTGCTCGCCGGGCGCCTGCTGCTTGAACGTGGTGGAGAGCGAGACCGGCGGCACCATGGCTCCCGAACGCCACTGCTCGGGCTCCTGCCCGGCGTGGATGGCCTGAGTGCCGAAATGCGCGAAGGGCCGCAGGTAACCTCGCTCCATGGCCGCGATCCGACTGCCGCCGCTCCGGCCCCGCGCAGCCGCCCAGACCTTCACGGCCGCGGCTCCGCCCGGGGGCACGGCGCGGGAGGGGCATCGCCGCCGCCCCCCATTGGCTCCGAGCCGTCGGGCAGCGCCCGCGCCGCAGGGCGGGACGGCGGAGTTGGGCCGGACTCGGGTCGGAGCTGGCCGCGGGGTCGGGGGGCGGGGAGGAGCGGGTGGCACGAGCTGCGGCTGTGCGCTTAAAACGCAGAACGAGCCGCGCGTTTCCTCTGCTCCTCTTTTGTTTCCAGCGCGGTTTGTGCCAGACCGGGAGGAACGAGCTGAAGCCTGAGTGCCCTGCTGGACCCGCTCCGTGTGCCGCGCTGGGCACGTGGCAGGGCCACCCAGCAGCACCCAGCAGCACCCAGCAGCACCCAGCAGCACCCAGCAGCACCCAGCAGCACCCAGCAGCACCCAGCTCCTGCGCGGTCTCATGTGCACAGCGTGACAGGAAAGTCACCCAGAAAGCTGTTTCAGAAGTGCCACCATAAAATACTACTGCTCTGTGGGCCCAATACAGCAGCTTGGATGTTGAGTACTGTGTTCAGGTCTGGAGCCCCCAGTACAAGAAAGACAGGGAGCTGTTGGAGAGGGTCCAGAGGAGAGCCACAAAGATGATCAGGGGGCTGCAGCATCTCCTTTCTCAAAGACAGGCTGAGGGAGCTGGGCTTGTTCAGCCTGGAGAAAAGAAGGCTGCGGGGTGACCTCATTGCAGCCTTCAGTACCTAAAGGGAGCATTTAGGTACTGAAGCAGGAGGGGAATCAACTCTTTGAAAGGGGAGATAACTGCAGGATGAGGGGAAATGGTTTTAAGTTGAGGGAGGGAAGATTGAGGTTGGATGTCAGGGGGAAGTTGTTTGCTATGAGAGTGGTGAGGTGCTGGAACAGCTGCCCAGAGGCTGTGGATGCCCCGTCCATCCCTGGAGGTGTTCAAGGCCAGGTTGGATGGGGTCTTGGGCTGCTATGAAATGTGGAGGTTGGTGGCTCTGCGTGTGGCAGGGGGTTGGAGCTTCATCATCCTTGAGGTCCTTCCAAGCCGGGCCATTCTGTGACTGAGGATGGAAAATGACAGGCATGTGGATGAAAACATTGCCCACATTCCTCACATAGCACTGTGTGTAATAAGGGACAGCCCTGCTGAGGGGCCCAGTGACCACCAGGGAATGGCAGCACCGTGCAGCCCCAGCGCATCGGCTGATGTGCCCAGCTGAGCTCACACAGCCCAGAACGCAGTGCTTCTGGTTAAAGACAGCTTCTCTTACACTCCAAGCTGGACTCAAAATAATTTTTATCTAAATTGAGGCAAATTGAGCCTTTTGTGGCTGTTGTCAGAGCATGCTGTGCTGCTGGCATACAGCTCTTGGGTGTTTTGCTTTCACAGACCCTCATCCTCATATCCCCCATTGACGGCTGAAGCACTTTGCTGAGCAAATACATAAAGGACCTCTGCAGATGGATCAGTCCTATAGATTAGCCTGGGAAGCATGAGAAAAGTGCTCATGCTTTTCTTTCTTTTTAGCTGGAAGATGCAGGCAGTTCTGAGGTGCTTCAGGACAGCACCAGCCCAACAGCAAAGAGAATTACTCCTTCACTGAGATAGTCATGGAGGCTACGATGTCTTAAAGTTTCTTAGCTACTTTTTCCTGTGAAGTTTTGTTTTATTCAGTGGCCTTTGTCACTTTGAAAGATGTCTTTCTCTCTAGCACATCTCTCAAGTCAGTCACTCCGAGTGCCTCAGAAAAGCAGGTTAATTTCACTGAGCTGGCAAATTCCATTCGCTGCCCACCTGGACATCATTTATTTTTGTGTTGCCACATGGAAACAAGGAAAAAACACCAGGAGAGATCACTCCTCGGTGCTTTCAGTACTCTGTTCAGCACTCTTTACAAGTTCAAGTGTTACTGTTCGACTTACAGATAGAAGAAATGCACGTGGACACCTACGATATGCCATTGTCATTTGCTGCCTACCTTTGGGTTTTGTAAAAACGTTGCCTTAGCCTTTTACACCTCCCTGTTTTTTGACCAGTTTCTATATATACTACACAAGTTGACATTGACACAGCCATGAGAAATTACATCTCTGTTATTTATATCCTTCTTGAGGATAAGTGAAGGTTCCATAAGGTCACAGTGTAGAAAATGCAGTTCTGCAGTCACAATATCTGATCCTACTACTTTTATTTAGCTTGCTTGGAAGAGAGCAAATTAAGTGATTTGGGAAGATAGAGGATATAAACAAGCCAAAGTCAAGTTAAACAAACAAACATTCTCAAGGGTTCCTAAGTACATTCCCAGTGAGGGAGGACATCTGGATTCACTACCAACTCCATTTTCCAGAGAGCAGTTTCCATCAGTAATGCATTCATTATTTTTCTGGACTGAATAAGGGACTCCATAATAAGCTGGTAAACAATGACTTCATGCCTCTGCCTACTCTTAGCTGGCCTTCGGTAATTAGAAGTGCATCCTGAAGCTTCCAACGCTTAGGAAGCACCAGCCAAAAGCTGAGCTAGCACGAGAACAACTATATGTGCAAACAGCCCCTTGTGCAGCACTGGAGAGTAGAGGAGAGAAGTCAGAATTGCCAACAGCAATCACATAACAGCACCAACAGCATCAGCCTCTCAAATCTTGTCTGTAAGCAGATTTTCATTTCCTCTAAGAGTAAGGAAAGCCAGACAAATCTTAAGGAAAGAACAATGGTCCATAGAATGAAGTGATATGTTTACTTATGTAAAATTCCTTGTTAGAATTATAAATAGCCATGCCAGAAGCAGCTGTGCTGTCACTGACGACACAGGTACAGAAATCACATTTCATAGTTCTTATCTCCTTCTAGAATTATTCTGAGTCACTTAATGTGATGCAAACTGAGTAAAGAAAGAGGGCATCCAGAAAGGTAGGCTGTTTATCGCTGCAGATCTAACCTCTCTGACAACTTGCAGATTGTCTTCCCTGGAATCACTGGTAAAAATTGCAGTCTTCCTGGAATTCGACACATCATCGTTTTCTAAATGATTCATTGCACTACTGTAAGTGCTTGCAGAACTGATGCTGAAGAAGCAGCTTTTGGGAAACACCAATCTGTTGTGATGCAGTTGCTTTATAAAACAATAATGCATCTGCAAGTACTGACACAGGGACAGGACAACTGCTCTGTCTTCCATCACTCTGCTTTTAAGGGTGACAATTTGTCCACCGTGCAAGAATGGTGATTTGAGGAGGTGGTGTTGAATGAACAAAGCCATTTGACCTTTTGTAACCAGTAGTCACCCCATGCTCTTTACAAGGGAGGTGAATGGACTCCTTGGGTTTATTGCATGGTTTGTGTACACACCTGGCATGCAGCAGGGGTGGACATTGTTGTCCAGAGCTGAGTAACTAAACCTCTAACCAAGCCATTGCTGTGCCAGCTTGCCTCCTCACAACTGGACCTGAAAGGAATCAGTTTGTAGCTGAGGGAGCTGGGCTTACTGAGCTTGAAGAGAAGGCTCCAGAGGGAGCTCATTGCTGCCTTCGGTACTTGCGCAGAGCTGATAAACAGGAGAACGACTTTGTATGTGGGTAGACAGGACAAGGGGGAATGGCTTTAAGCTGAAAAAGAGGAGATTTAGGTCAGATGTGAGGGGGAAGTTGTTCACCCAGAGGCGGTGAGGCCCCAGCAGTGCTGCCCAGAGCTGTGGGTGCTCCATCCCTGGAGGTGCAGAGGCCATGGATGGGCTGCGGGCAGCCGAGCTGGGTGAGGGGGAGAAAAGCTCAGAGCAGGGGTGGGATGGGGGGCTTTGGGCTTCCTTTTAACCCAAGCATCGTGTGATCCTACTTTCAGAGAAAACATTTGCCATGGACTGAGAATCTGGGTCCCTTCCTCTTGCTGCGATGGCACTACAGGCTGTAGTTTTCTCCTCAGCAAACCCGCGTGCCTTCCTTCCTTTGGAAATGCAGCACTTCAGACAGCTGGGACGTGGGTTTGCGGGTTTGCAGGCAGGCGCTGCTGGCGGTCAGGCACTGAGTGGCACGGGCTGCTCGCCCCTGGAGGGGCTCCGTGCCGTGGCACTGGTGTGGCACCAGGGGACACGGCCGGTGGGCACGGTGAGGTGGGCTTTGATTGGACTTGGTGAGCTCAGAGGGCTTCTCCAACCGTGACCACTCTATGATTCTACACCCGTGAGGTAACCCCACCAAGGCGGCCAGCAGCCGCGCCCAGCTCTGCCCGCTGCGGGGCGCCCGCCCGCCCGCGCTGACACGGCGCTCAGGGGCGGCGTCCCGCCGCCGTCTCGCGGTGCCGCCAAGTCTCGCCCCGCGCCGCGCCTCTCGCGGGAGTTTCCGGCCAAGATGGCGGCGGCGCCGGGCCGTTGAGCGGGCCCCCGCGGGCGGGAGGCATCAGACGGAGGTGGGCGGGCGTCGAGCTCCTCAGCGCCGCGGCCGTTTGAGGCGGGGGATGCCGACGGGACGGGACTCGCCGCCGCGGCTCTGAGCGCCTCGTCCCTCCGGCCGCGGCCAGTCTCCCGGCGGGGTCCCCCCCCTCCCCGCCCGCGGGGCCGCCGCCGGCGATGACCGGCGAGAAGCTGCGCTCGCTGCGCAGGGACCACAAACCCAGCAAGGAGGACGGGGACCTGCTGGGGCACGGCGAGGAGGAGGCGGCCGCCGCGCCCGGAGCCGTCTTCACCGGGGGGCGCGGGAGCGGCGGCAAAGGCGGCCGGGCCGGGGGGCACCGCATCTTCAGCAACCACCACCACCACCAGCAGCGGCTGCCGCTGAAGGGCGGCCCGGCGGGCGGCGGGACGGGCCCGGCCGCGGAGCCCGAGCGGAGCCCCGCGCACTTCCCCGTGCACGAGTGCGTCTTCAAGGGGGACGTGAGGCGGCTGTCGGCGCTCATCCGCACGCAGGGCATCGGCCAGAAGGACAGCCACGGTGAGCGGCGGGCGAGGCCGTGCTCGGGGCTGCTGGGGGTGGACTGTGCTGCCTGCCTGCCTGCCCTCGTGCTGCCTGCTTTCCTGCCTGCCTGCCCTCCTGCCTGCCTGCCCCCCTGTGGAACTGCCTCAGGAGCCCGGGCCGGACCCGCGGTGCTCACCGGGCCCAGCAGCACCGCTTGATGCATACGTTGTCCGTTCTGCTTTGTGTGAGCTGCTTTTTCCTTCGTCTGTCATGTTTTTGGAGAGTTTCGTCAGCCCTCGCTGTCTCATTTCTGCTTAGCTCAAGCTCTCATCTCTTCCTGCTACAGGAGGTTGTGAGGCACAGGCTGTGGTGCTGCGCTGCACGGGGGTGGGGGTCACAGCCCTGGGGGTGTTTGGAGCCGTGGGGATGTGGCACTGAGGAATGTAGGCATGGGGTCTGGATTGGGGGGCTCCAATCGTGATGGTTCTGTTTTTAATTGTTGTGCATTTATCTTCCCTGAGGTTTGAGTGAGGTTAGCTGTGCTGGGAGTTGCAATGAGCTCTTTCTGCACAGCAGTGTGGCTGTGTCTCGTATCACCAGGGTGTCCTGGAATTTCACTAATAGGAACGAGTGCATGCTGCTATTTGTGTTGTCCTGGAAGAACTTCCTCTTACAAAGTCTTGCTTCAGACCCAAAGATGTGTTTGTGCAAGAACGCCTTTTCTTTTTCTTTTTTGAAGTGTGTGAACTGTCACCTGTTTGCTTTTAGGGATGATGGGGCTTAGGGGACACTTGGGAGTGGTGGCTTTGACTGTTGGTGTGGAATTATCTTTAGGTTTTCCCCAGCTTAAACAAAAATTTTATATATATGTGTGTGTGTGTGTATATATATTTATATATATAGCTTTGGGATTTGAAAGAAGCAAATCCCAGAAGATGTAATCTGCTTTTCCTACTTGCTTTGGACAGAGAAGCAATAGTAACAGAGGTAGAAAAATGAGCCTCGCGTTACTTTAAAATGTGCAACTATTCGAAGACTTGATAGGGCGTTTAAAAATGATATGTTTAATTTGGGGGATGTTTTACGTTGTAAAATAAATTAGCCTGCCAAGTCAGCTGAAGTTTCATGGTTAGCTTTTGTCTGTGTGTTTTCTGCCTTTTTCCAAAGTAAGGTGATACGCTTCTGCAGGAGGCTGTAAGTCATCCTGCATGTGGTGTCTGGGCAAGTTGTGATTAAAGGGTAGAGTTACTCTCTTTTTCTGATGATGAGATAAGTGTTCCCTTTGTTTTACTTAATTGTACTGTGTAAAAGAAAACCAAACAGTAATATAGGGCAATCTTAGGATTGATACGATGGGAAAAATAATATAATTAGAAATTTAAAACTATCTCCATGATATTATAAAGCACTCTGAACCACAAACTGATGAATGCTGGAGTAGCTCACGGCTCAGTTTCCTCAACTGAGATAGGAAGGAGCATTTCTTACAACTGTCATAACATTTTTCTAAGTAGCCTGCTATAAATATAGCTACAGATATATTTATCCTGTCATCTTCATTCCAAGAGTTGCAGCAAAGTCTGGTAGAATGAAAGCAACAGGCTTGGAAAGAAACCTTCTCCCTGTATGCCTTCTGCTGCTTTCTTCCCTACATCTCTTCCAGTTCCTATCAAATGACTCATTGCTGTAGCTTAGTGTTTGTACTTTGAAGGCACTGATGACCCATCTTTGCTGAACTGCAGTCTTCAGTGTCTATCACAAATGTTGATACCATCTTTTTATGTATGTTTATATACTTTTAATAGTATATATGTATTTTTTTTAATGAACTTTTCTTCATTTTCACTACTGTTTACAACAGGAACAGTGTGGATTTCTGTCCCATCTTCTTCCAAAGTTCTACTTTCACTGTTCTCTTGTCCTTAAATTAAAAAAAAAAAAAGGCAAACCAACCAAAAACCCACAAAAAACCAAGCCAACCAATCCAAAACAAAACCAGAAACCAGCAACAAAACCAAACCCTTGGTGCCTTGACATACCGAAGGCCTGACTGCTACTTCCTTGTTATTGTTTTCTTCCTGCCTGAATCCATCTGCCACTTGTTTACATATTTGAATTGTGAGTTATTTGGGGTAGATAACTTCAGCTTACAATTCCACTCAGAAGTAAGCCTGAAGAATCCTAGAGCATGATAAGGAAGTGACAGAGAAGAGGAACAACTTCTAGTAACAGTTACTATTTATAATTCACTTCCATTTTTAGTGAGCGGTTAAGTAGAAAAGCCACGTCCCATAGAACGTTAGACTGGTGGTGTTCTGATAAAACAAATGCTGGCTGTATTAATAAATAGGAGAGCTAGCCAGGCTGCACTCTGAATTAACCTCAAAAAAAGCATTTCTTGTTGGTAAGACCAGTATCATTATTCTGAAAGGCAGGAGCTTGTTTATGTTTTTAGATTACTTTTATTTTTGCTGTAACACACATTTAAAAGCTTAAACATATTTTCAGAAGAAAACAGTTGTTTCTGAAATAGATAAATTTTGCTGAATTACTATCAAAAAACACTCAGCTGCCTCGTAGGTGTGCCAGGTGTCTACATGACTGTGTATAACTTTTAACCTTTCATTAGGGAAGTACAGATGGTTTTTGTTGCACGGCCTGGCTGGAGACCTGCAGGACTTCAGGCACTGCTGTATCACTGCTATCTCAGGTTAAGGCCTTGTAGGCTACTCAGCCTAAACTTGGGCAGGGAAATGTAAATGCTGGTTTCTGAAGCTATGGACACTGAAAAAACCTTCTGTAGATGGAAGGGATAAGTGAGATTTATTTCTAAGGTGAATCAAGCTGTTGTCAAAAAAGAAACCTAAAGGAGAAGAAATTTGGTTGCAACTTTTCAAGTGTATCCATGTACCTACAGATATCCACCTGTAGTAAGTCTAGAAACAATCACATCAAGTTACTGTTATATTGCAGTGAAGTCATCAGAAGTGTACGTCAGCCTCTTAATAAGAAGAGTACTGTAAATAATTACAGCTCTATCACACAGGTAAACATATCACAGTGAAGCTGCACCCTCTTTTGTCTTAGCAGAAGCTGTCCCTTGCAGAGCCACGTGTGTTCCTGGCACTTCCTGTTGTGATTATGCAGCAGTTCACCGAACGCCTCGAGCTGTTACAGCTGTCCTTGCAGCTGTAAGAAGTGGAACTCCCCTCTCCTACCCTCGTGCTTGTTCTGGCAGACGCCAAGCTTAAGCAACTAAACATGATTTGTGGTTTATATTCTAGGGTTGATGGAGCTGGAGGTTGTAGCATTATAGAATTCCAGTGGGATGGTTCCACTTGAGTCCTGTAAATGCTGGTGCTACTTAATTCATGAGTCTTGAGTGCTAGAGGGAGTGTAATTGTGTGGCTCTGCCCTCGCAGCTGCTGGGGCCGCATATACACTTCTAGATCCCCAGCTTTCCTGAAGGAGGAGCAGTGAAATGTGCCTGCTGGCCAGCCAGGCTTCTGAGATGAGATCTCTGGGAAGACTTTGGCTGTTGCCCACTTCTGAGCCAGATCAGCACTGCTGCCTCTGCTTGGGGGTGTTGAGTGACAGTGGCTGGATGGCCTAGTCTGGACACATCTGTCCTGACACCTTTGCCTTCCCTCAGTTTTCCCATGCAGAATGAATGCACTTAAGACTGTGGTCAGACAAACAAGGAGCCTTTCTCTTTGGACAGCTCTTCTCCTCCCTCCTCTTGGAGCAGAGATGCTGAAGATTGGACAGAGGCATTCTGTATACTGAGTAATTCCTCAGCATAATTTCTTTGTTTTGTGACATCTAACCTGGAATAGTTTGAATGGCTTATTTGGTAACTCTGACTTAACTTTGCTACTGGGAAAAGTCATTTTGTTTGCCTCAAAGACCATCAGCAGCTCTACAGATTTATCAGATGTTAAGGAGGATGATTAGTGATGGAACAGGAAGATTCTGCTCTGTGTTTGTTTTTTGAATGTGCCAAAGCTGGCTTTGTTTATCAGTTCCTGCTGAGATGGTAACCATTTGGGGAGAGGATCTGAGAGTGAGACAAATACTCTGTTGCCAGGCCTAGGCCCACAAACATATTTGGGTGCCTGACCTCCATGGGAGTGCTGTTTGTGAAGCAGCAATGGATTTGTGCTGGAATGAAAAGGTGCATGGTTTTGTGGCTGTTCTGCATCCAGTGGTGTCTGACAAGGACTTGTCCTGGGCAGTGATAAAAGGCTGGAGCGATGCAGAGTGCTATAGGAATGGCAGTGTTTCCAGGTGCCACAATGTCCCTCTCCTTTGTGCTTGCCTTGAATTTCCTTCTCCTCCCTTCCCTGAGGCTTTACCTCTCCCTTGGTGCTACAGCAAACATCTTGTTTTATCTCAGAGATGTCGGTAAAGCCTTACACTCCTCTTTGTTAGAGTCCCACTGGTTAAAGACCAGCAAGAAGCATATTACATCTTTTCATCTCCCTCACAAACTGCTTTTTATTTTTCATTCTGGAATTGATAGATTCTAATGTCTTTGCTTTCTCAATTATTGTAATGACTGTTGCTCTGCGTCCTTCTTTTCCTTCCCCACCTTGTCTGTAAGCTTCCTGTTCAGTTTTTGAGTTGCATACTTTTTGGTGTAAAGATTGAATATCAAAGTAAAATCTGTTCCGGAAGAGCATTTTGGAGGTGATGTAGTGCAGCATCCTGCACAAAACAGACAGCATCAAAGTCGGTTCAGGTTGCTCAGAACCTTGTCCAGAGGGGTTTTGAAATGCTGTGATATTGCACAACTGCATTTCCCATTTATCAGCTGAAATGTTCACCACATCTCTCAGGAAGGCTGCCAAACACTTGGTTAACTTTCATTTTGTTGTTTCTTCCCAATATGCCAAGCTGTTGTAGGTATTGGAGCTGTCTGGCTCTTCTTATGCAGTGTTTGAAAGGTGTGGTTTCTTTTGCTATTGTTTTTTGTTTCTTTTTTTGGAAGGCTAATTGAAAACCACTCACAAACTCTGACTTTGACTGCTTGCCTATCTTGATCAGAGATTCCATGATACTGTGGTGTGTTGGTAATTGCTTCATACAGCAATCTATGAATGCTTTGGATTGCATCTTTGAGATGTGCATCATCCTTGGCATGCAGCAAGTGCTTATTGCTAACATGATGCTGTAAAATACTTCTAAAATCAACTATGTTTGATATAATTGCAAAAGAAACTTGTTTACAAGTAGTATTTCTTAACTTTGCAAGAAAACATTTAAATGGAAGGATCCTATATCCTTGAGCCCCAAAAATAAAATGTATCAGGATTCTGCTAGCAGCAATAATCCAGAAAAACAGCTCTCTGTACCTTACTGTGCATATCTAAGAGCAGAAGTCTAAAATGGGTCACCTATGGACAGGAAAATACTCATGTTTTTAATATCTGCTAATAGTCTTGGAAGCTTCCTTTGGAAACATGGCATTGAAGTAACCAGAAGGTGGTGGTGGATGGTTGGGTTTTCTTTAGGGAAATGATTTTTATTCTGCAACATGTCCATTGCTGTATTAGTAAAAATTTTATACTCAGTCTTTGAAAAATTAATAAAATATGCTCCTAAAACTTTAATAAGTGTCATATCTTTGAGTAGCTTTTACCCTAGATATGTCATTCTTTATAAAATATCATATTCCTCAGACCATGAGTACAGAGGTTTGGGTTATTGCCTCCTTGAAGATATAATTGTACCACTTTGGCAGATTTCAAGGTATAATTAAGAAGCTCTGCTGATCCATGAATGTTTCAGCTATATTTATTTTAACAAGTATAATCAAAAACCTGTATGTTGGACTTGCATAGAAACTGCTCTGGTGTATGTGTACCTGCTCCTTTCTTAGGCTGTATAGTTTCTTAATACACAGCATGGGAGCTGTGTGTCCTGACTCCTGAAGGAGTTGCAATGAATTCTGTAACGTTGGACCTAATCTCTTTTTTTTCCCCTTTTTATTTTAGGAAACACTCCTTTGCATCTTGCTGTGATGTTGGGACATAAAGGTTGGTAAAACCTTTGGTTTTGTTACTTTTAAGTTGTCCTGAGAACGTAGAGGCAAAAGTAAAAAAATACAGTTCAATTTTTCTGAATGTGATCTTGTGTTTGAAACTTGTTGAAAGTTGAGGTAAGTAAAGTAAAGGCTGCCCAGATATGAAAGAGAAAAGTCTGTCAGGAAGGTAGGGCTGCCTGTTAGGCCAAAATCAGGGAGCCAGGCAGGGGGAGGGCTGGGTCGGAAGGAGAGAGTGGCAGAGAAGGGGTTCTGACAGCTGGACTCCTTCGTGAGCCTGGAACAAGAACTAGCTTCTGTCTTATTGCAGAGTTAGAAGGACTTGCAATATCATAGAAGATTGAGAAACAAGAAACAGCTTTGAGCAGTGGAGGCAAGCACATTCGTGCCTGTGTCCTCGTGGTGTCCAAACAGGGGTGGGACACATTCAGTCTGGGTAGGCAGGAGTCTTCATCCAGGCAGATCTCTGTTTTAATGCCATTAGCAGAAGTCTTATTATTCCTGTTCATGTGATGGTGCCCTTTTTCTTCGTTGCTTTCCTGGTTAACAGTTTTGCTGTGGTTGTTACCAATCTGCTCATTAGAGGTCTTGAACCACCCCTGTTGGCTTTTTCTCCATTATGAATGAAAATATTTTCTAGAATAAAGTGACTCTGCGAGTGGAAACGTAATCACTTTCCTGCCTTTTGCACATTCCTTTCTTCACCTGATCCAGATTTCTGCCCGCTGCCTGTCTGCTTCTTTGTGTTCCAGGACTGGCTGCTCTCTGCAGGATCCAGGACAGCCTACCAGGCTGTGCTACCTGTTGATCCCTGATGGCTGTCACTCTTTCAGATATCCTTGGGGGACTTTTTTTTTTTTTTTACAGCAGCATTTCAAGGCAAAGGATTCACATTTCTATTTGAAATAGAAAGCGTTGAAGTAGGCATATTTCAAGACTGGGGGAAAAAACAACAACTTGGAATATGATTAAGTCTCCATGACAGTAGAATTCTTTTTCACTACTGAAACAAGAGAAAGAATGCCTTAGTTTTGTCAAGCTGTGTGAGTCCTGCACCTGGTGTGTGGTACGGCTCTGTAGCTGGGTTATTGTTCACTGCAGCGGTATCATATCACTGAAGTACAAATGATTTTGATCAAAGATGCTTCTTTTGATACCAAGTGATAGAAAAGAATTTATCGCCCTTAATTCGGTACACTTGAATACTTTTTCTCTTGAACTGTGGTTATTTTATGTTTCAGCTCTAGGATGAAAAGCCCTTACTGTTCAGTGCTGTCAGATTGCTTGATTATCGTGGCACATAGCATAGCAAGGAGAGGAGAAGCAGTTCTTCCCTTTACTTCTTTCTTCTTTGGCTGCGTATTTGAGATCTCACTTTGTAGTTTGCCTCTTGGCTTCTTTGTCAGCCATCCCATGTGTAAAGCCCTTAATTACTTGGGATATTTATGGTAAGCCTTTATGTAGCTTGGCTGGAGCAGGACTATTGGTATATGATGTCAAGAACAATACCTGGTTTTCCTGTTTTGACTTTCACTCCTGCTTGGTCTTTGATCCTCTCAGAACCCCAGGACCTTTGCTGCCATGTTAGCCAGTCTCACTGATGCTGATGGTCGGCTTTTCTGGGGATGATGCATGTAGACTGCTTGGGTGCACATAGCAGCATTGCAGCCAGACTTTGGTGAATTGCAGGGTGAACTGGCATCCTGTTTGTTTAACTGGAAATGGGATCTGGCTGGTAAATGCCTGTTCCATGTGAGTGTTGTCATTGCTTTAGGCTCTGTTTGAGCAACTGCAGAAAATATCTCTGCATGTTTCTGGACAGAGTACTTAGGGCTTTTGTTTGTTTACCACAAAGGATAGTGTATTCACCAGTAAAGCATCTCTTCCTTTCCTAACACCACGTTTTCCAGTGACTCATGATTTTTGCATCTTGAGTGACTGGTAAGGTTTCCTGTAACACCTGTAGGCGAAGAATCAGGAAGTCCCTCTATCTGCAGTTCCTGCCCATCCTATTCATAATGAGATGTTTCTTTAGCCTGCAGCTCCCGCTCCATGCTGCTGTATCATCTGCAGATAGGTCAGGTAGATTTTAATGAGTTGTGGTGAGGAAGCTTTCCATAGTTAGAAATGGAAGGACCATTTAAAATGAGGACAGCTTATTCAAAACGTGGAAATAGTGAACCATTTCTTCTCTTCTGAATTCTAAGGGCTACTCCTGATTCTATCATCAGCTTTTATCCTTAGATAGAGAAGGCAATGCAAGTTGAGCTGAGACTGTGGTAGGAACTGGCGTGGTGTTTATGGAATGTTGGTGTGCTCTGTTAGCACAACACACACATGCCAAGAGGCCAGGAGAGCATCAAGACATGCTTTATTGATGCATGGACAAACAACGTAGTGCATGGCAAGTGGAGCTCTGTGCTGCTGTGCTTTATCTATACGCTCTGTTAGTCCTAGGATAACTCTTGCTTGCTGCACAGCATGTAATGCACGTTTTCTAACACTTCAGAGAGAGAGACATTACATAGAGGTGATTTAACAAGCATTTTAAAGTATTTTTTATATAGAGAAGTGAGTGTGTATACACAACAGTACATCTTTACAAAAAGCATAAGGAAATGTTTTTCAGTGGAAATGCTATTGGTTGTTGATTGCCAATGATGTTTTCAGTGCTCATATTTAACAGGAAAATACTATAAATAATTTCAAGAATGCTTTAAAAAATTATTTATAGCTTGAGTTCATAATTTGGATATGTGTTTTGATGATGCTTAATACATTGAATATCCACTAGTTGTTTTATTCTTGTTTCCTTTACTGTTTCCTCTATCATGAATTATGTAATTGCAATACCCATTATGTTTACTGAAAGTAATTATTGCTGCTTTGTTACAGAATGTGCCCACTTGCTTTTAGCCCACAATGCTCCAGTAAAGGTGAAAAATGCTCAGGGATGGAGCCCTCTTGCAGAAGCCATCAGCTATGGAGACAGGCAAATGAGTAAGATCATTGCTGAAGAATTTTCTATATCACATTCAGCAATATATATGCATACCCATGTGTCTTTTTACACATGTACACATGTATTAGTAAATATCTTGACGTAATCAAATACTTTATATTATAAGCCGTTTCTGAAGATTTCCTTCCTACTGTGATCATGAGTTATTTATAATTACTGTAACTTGAAGTGCATTACTTCAAAGTGATGAAATGCTTTATTAACAGCAATTATTTCTCATTTTTTAAAAATCTGTTGCATGACAGCACTAAGCTGCAGTTACCCAAGTAGCACAGTTTTACCTTATATTTAACTTCTGTTCAGTTACAGCACTCCTAAGGAAGCTTAAACAGCAGTCCAGGGAAAGTGTTGAAGAAAAGCGACCTCGATTATTAAAAGCCCTGAAAGAGGTAGGTAAATTGAAGGCAGCTTTGTTGGCAAAAAATGGATTGTGATGAAACTGGTAGCTTTTGTTCATATAGTAAGGATGCTTTAGCAAACTGATAAAAGAAAAAAAGGTTTTTGTCCATTTCAAAGTCTCACAGAACGATGCGCATTCCTAAGATGCTCCCCCCTCAAATTCTAGAAATTCAGTCAGAAAAATGCTTTAGATAAGAGAGACTTTTCTGTCATCTTTTCAACCTGAAAGTCAAAGAATGTGTTTTCAATCTGTGCTTATTTCATTGGTTTAGAAGGCTTCCTTAAATCTCAGCTTGATGAAGAAGTTGCTGTTACATCCTGTCACGAATCACGAATGATATTTTTTGTTTCTTTGTTTAATGCTTGGTAAAGAAAGGGAGTTTTTTTTTTTACATTTAGTTCTCCATCTGCATGCAGCAGCCAGTTTTTCTTAAGCACAGTCAAACAATTGTCAGTATTGACGATTGGGAGTGTATTTCTAGAGTATAAATTGGAGTTTGTATGTGGATACTGGTAGGCGAAACCTGATCCATTGATTCAGACAGAGAATGAGTTAGGTGTGGTCAGTCAAAGCAAACAAAGAGCTCTGTAGGCTTTTAAAATTGGGATTTACAATTTCTTTTTTGTTCACAGCTTAATTGCTTCATAACTTTTTTCCAAAAAAAAAATCATTAAAGATTGGTAGCTTAAATGAAGCACATGTTTAGCATTACTGATTCTGCTTTTGGTGAAGCTTCAGAAATGTTGAATTTCAATTGAAGTTCAACTACTTACATCAGAGGGGGAAGAAGGTATCTTTTTGGCAAAACACAAACTTTGCTTAACTTTCAGCACATTTTACAGTTGACCGAAATGTTAATATATTCTTTTCATCTCAGCTAGGTGACTTCTATCTAGAGCTTCACTGGGATTTTCAAAGTTGGGGTAAGTGACTGCATATCCCTTTTCATTGGGAGATAATATTATCAGGCCTCCACACACCTGTTCTCTCAAGCTGAGATGATTTGTTTCCAGTTTGTGTTTTGGAAAATTCATAATCGTGTTGTGGAGACTGAAGTTGCAAATAAAGGAGAGACACTTTTTTTTTGAGTTATTTTTTTATGACTTTTTCTAGTTTAATTCTGTAATCTAGGCACACAATATGAGATGGGGAGGGAAACAAGCTGTTAAAGAGTATGGTTATAAAAACAAAATATTATAATGCCTGAATCTGGTCATTTGGTGTCACTGCAGAGCAGTGCTTTGAGCAGTTCAGCTGAATGACAGGACTTGTGGCATTTAATTGCTTGGCACCAGCTCCTAGTGGTCGTCTTCTCCAGGAGTATCACCATGCAGGAGGGCATTCCTCTGCCTGCATCATTCCCATGTTTGTGTACTCTCCTGAGGGGAGAAAGGTGCCCTGGGCAGTGTGTTGGTGCTGATCATTGGTGCTCTGAGCGAGCTCAGTTCTGCAGGTGGTCTCAGTTCTTCATGGTGCTGTTTGAAGAAGGAGCTGAAATGCCATTGTGTTTGTTCTTATTGCAGTAAATGGTGCTTTTTAAAATAAGCACAGCTTATTTTAAATATATATATCTCACATATCCAGCTCGTAACACTGAGCTGGCTCTCAGTTCCTCTGGTAGTTTAACCTTTCCTTAGGTTTTAAACCTTAGTGCTTTGGATTTGTCTTCTGCTTGTCTATGTTCTGCTTTAATTGTAGCTGGGCTTTCAGCTGGCATAATATTCAAATAAAATATCCAACTGCAGAATTAAAATTCCAGACAGTTAGAAGTTATTAGAATTCATAAATGGTTTAGTTCATTTAAAATGAGGAGACTTCAAGTTTTATTTTGCTGAAGATATTGTGTACAAGTGTGTATCAGTCCTGCAGTTAGTTAATAGACAAGCGTGACGTTAGTGTGGTTGTGTTGAGATTATGATGGAAAATGGATATGCTGTATTTTTATATTACAACACATTGAAATTCAAGGTGGGGTGCAGTTTCTCTGCAAGGTACTTTGAGGAAAACTTCATTGTTCTAATTGTCCAATGTCTCTGCCTACTTCTAGTGCCTTTACTTTCCCGAATTCTGCCTTCTGATGCGTGTAAAATACACAAACAAGGTATAAATATCAGGTAAGCACTGATTTGCCATTTGAGTTTACTAAGTCACAAATGTCTGCATGTTGGTGAAAACGCTGGTTTCACTGTGGTCTGAAAGTGATTGCTTGCAAATGCTTGTGAAACACCATTGTGGTGGTACATAGGTGCTTGGAGGCAGGAACTGCTTTCATCTACAGTCCTTTTCCTCTATTAGTTTGAAGTTAGCTTTAATTCTCAAGTCACTTCACATAAAGCAAAACCAGTTCTGTCTGGTAGATAGAGGCTTTTACACAGTTTGGCAATGATTGATTGAAAAACAGGAATTTCATATCTGAAAATCTGTGTTACAAATATAAGTGAGCTTTCAGTATTTTCTGGAGAAATATTGCTGCTCCAGGTTATGTAAAATGCTCTCTGTGAAGGATTCCTGGACTTCTGCTGAGCCTGGCTGTTCAGCTGCCTTAGATTGTGATTTTGGGCTCAGGTGTCTTTTCCCTTTTGGTTCCTAAATTTTAACGAGGGAAAATAAAGTTATGATTCAGAAGACTATAGACATCTTGTTTTCTTACTACAGCTTTTTAGCATAGATAGGTGAACGTAGGTTAGACTTGAGTCCATTGAGACCATTTGTTTTCCTTCTCATTTCTCTCTTCTGCTTGTACAGAGGGGAGTTGTGAGGCTGACACTCCAAGGAAGTAACTACAGATTCTTTCATGAATTCAGAGGCCAATACATGATGAGTATTAAGCAACCACCCTTTAGAACTGAAGTGGCTTCTGAATTCAGGCTCTTTAACCAACTTTACAAAGAAGGAAATACTCTAGCAATAATACGTGTTAGTCGCTAGAGAGATCTTTGTTCTTGGCTCCAGCTCTTCATTTCCAGCTCAGCAGGAACATTTCTTTTCTGTTGGTGAGAGAAAAGAATAACAACAGTAACTGAGATGTTTCAAATGGGGATTGAGGCTGTTTCTTAGTCCTCATTGCAACTGCAATCACATCTTACCAGGGCTACTCAGCTCTGGGGCTGCAGATGTTTGTTGCAGGGAGTAGTTACGTTTCTCAATGTGTAGCACATACTAGCTACATAATTCCTGTAACTTCCTTCTGCTGTTTTTCTTTAGAAAACGTTGTGTGTATATAGCGGATGCTAAAAATACAATATTAAGGTATAGATGGCACTTCTATGAAGTTGGCATAAAAATAGGCCATATTTTCATAGAATCCTTAGAGGCCTCTGAGGGCCATCTAGTCCAACTCCCCATCCAGCTCATGGTAAGCGTAATGTGAAACCTATTGAGTGTTTCTTACCCAACTTTTATTTCTATATCCAGGCTTAAATAATGGAATATTCTATGAAGACTTGAACCTTAACTTGTTTGTGCCAATAAATAAATCATAATAGTAATCAAAAGCTTCTCCTTGAAAGCAGAGCTTATCAATCAACACGTATAACTGTTTATGGGTAACTTCTTTTAATGTTCTGGTGCATTTTCACAGGCTGGACACAACTCTGATAGATTTTACTGACATGAAGTGCCAACGAGGGGATTTAAGCTTCATTTTTAATGGTGATGCAGCACCCTCTGAATCTTTTGTAGTTTTAGACAATGAACAAAAAGTTTACCAGCGAATACATCATGAGGTAAGGGTCTGTGTGAGCAGAGGCTGTGCAACACCTCAACCCTTTACTTTCCATCTGAAGTCTGAATTTACTGAACAAGGTGCACCTCTCCGAAAGACCCAAACTCCAAAGAAATGCACACTGAAGTTTTGTTCAGCTGATACAAGCTTATAAGCTTTTATTTTGAAAAACTGCTTCTTAATGCGATCTAAGAAATCGGGGAGAAATAGAATTCAAATCTGTTGGAAAATACGGTGTCATTCTGGGCAGATAAATATATTTCAAAGTTTGAAGCATACTGCTTATGGTATTTCCTGTGGGCATAATTCAGGGCTCCTCAAGTAGAATTTTCAAACTTGTTTGCCATTGCTTTGCCCCCATTTAGTCACTCTGTGGCCAGTTCAGTTGTTAACAGTGCAAGGGTCTTACTGGGTGGGCCTGTTGTGTCTGGCCAGACTTGTGTTTATAGCTCTATCTGCCAGTCACTTAAGCAGATGGGTTTATATGAAGGGTGTGGCTGGTGGTGAGCCTCTGGGTAAACCACACTTGGCCACGTCCTTTCCATTAACATTAAAGCTGAAGCTATTTGGTAACAAGCTCATCAGAGCTTCCACAAAACTGTTTGGAAACTCAAGAAGTGCTAGTTGTGGGGAAAGTGCCAAAGGAATGTGTTTATTGATTTTCATTTTCTTAAAATTATTTTTAAAAAAGAAAAAGATTGGTCATGATCATTAAATTCTATGCTGTGCTTGGTAATCTTCTTTCCAGGAATCTGAGATGGAAACAGAGGAAGAGGTTGACATTTTGATGAGCAGTGATATTTACTCAGCAACGTTATCAACCAAATCAATCACCTTCACACGTGCCCAAACGGGATGGCTTTTTCGAGAAGACAAAACAGTAAGCCAAAGGAAGTTGTCAGACTGGCATTGCTGAAGGCAAAATAGTTTAGGCAGCCGTGTTATAATGTGGTTGGGAAGAAAGGAGGAGTGAAAGGATCAGATGTTTGGGATGGAGTAGAAAAATGGCTTCCCCTGTCCCCACAGTTGTCACTAGTTTGACACTGTGTGTCTTGTGGGCTGCCTGCATAAGAGAATGGTAGCTTGGAAAAAAGTAGCCAACTACAGCTGAAGTGTGTGTGGAGAAACACTGCTGGAAATGGCACTATGTAGATAATGGAAAGTCATCCCAGGATTTACGTAAGAATTCTGTGTGTCCCTGTGACTGTGAAGGATGAAAGCATTCTGGCTACAGTTTGCTTTGCACATTCCTTCCGGTGTTGTCAGTCTGAGGCACAAATTCTCAGGTGTGAAAACACTGAAACACCTGCCTTTTCATGTAGGAAATTGCTTTTTTGAGATAGCTCTGAAGGACTTTGTATTGACTTGGATGTCAGGTAATGTCATTCACCACAGCTTTTCTGCTGAGCTAGTTTTTCAGAGCTCTTTCCTTTTGTGAAATCAGAAATCTATATTCTAAATGTGTAAAATACTATGTGTGTAAATTATCATTTAGCACAAAGTACTGGAGGGGCTTTTAGTGGGATTTCCCTTGGCCACTCTCAGATTCTTAAGCACTCTTCTCTCATTTAGTTTCCATTGATATAAAACACCAGTTACTGGGGGGATTACTCTGTACTATATGTAGGTTGGGGGGAGAGTGATGAGAATTCATATGGTTAGTTGTGTGAATTTACATTAAAACATTTCAATCCTGAACTTACCATACTGCAATTAAATTGTATATAGAAGAATTCAAATGGTTTTATTTAATCTTCTATGATTCTCCAATGTCTAATTCCTTTCTTCTAGGAAAGAGTAGGAAACTTTTTGGCTGATTTCTACCTGGTTAATGGACTTGTATTAGAATCAAGAAAAAGAAGAGAACATCTCAGTGAAGAGGATATTCTTCGAAATAAAGCTATCATGGAGAGCCTGAGTAAAGGTGGCAACTTGATGGAACAAAACTTTGAGGTATACTTACATCATTCTTTTCACTGTGTGAATCATTGCAAGAGAGAATAAATGTAGCAAGATTAATAAATGATATTATTGTTCCATTCTGATGGTAATAATTTTAAAATAATATGACTTGTAAATGTATTCCTGCTCATCTGTTTGTGTATTGTGCTGATTAGTGCTTGTATTGAGACATTTCTTTTCTTGAATATTTCAGTCTTAATTTGTCTGTTAATACAGGAGATGTTTTTAGCTGTGGCAAATCACTTTAATTTCGTTAGACCAAATATTTATTGTCTTGAATGCCCTTCCTGGTTCTTCTTTCAATTACGTTCTCATTTAGCTTCATTAAAACGGATTAAGCCTGTTATTATCACCATGAAGTTGAGAGCTATTCAGAATGAGCCAGACATCATCTGGGAACACGCAGACAAGCCTTTAAAGAAGGGCTGATTTATTTCTGTAAGAGCTTGTGCTTTATTACTTGCCATTCAGGCACTTGAATTAACTGATGAGCTGATGTGCTGCACCAGCCAGCTTCTGGGTACAGTACTGTTTGAGGCCTGATATCTAAATGGAGTCTGGGAAGGGAGGAGTAAGAGAGAGAGAAAAGCCATGTGAAGTTTCAGCTGCAAACTGAGTGCATCTTTTGAATAGTAAAACTGTAAGAGAACATCAGGAAAGATCAACTGCTAAGATGTGTTTCTCTGAACAGCCTGTCAGACGACAATCCCTTACTCCACCATCACCCAATACCATTACATGGGAAGAGTACATATCTGCTGAAAATGGAAAGTAAGTAGTTTGTTTTATTTCCATGGACAGCCTTAGCTAATTGGTACACTTAGTGTCCACTAGTTCATGAGTTCTTTTTAGTTTGTAGCTGTCAAGGAGCAGGGGGATCTTGCTTTTCATTGCCTAGATATTTAACGTTCTTCTGTAGACTGAAGACACTGACAGCAGCACACGTAAGCAAGATTATTCCATCAGCTGCAGATGAAAATATGCATGTAGGCATGTGCCTGCATCTTGGAATTTCGACTTATTGTAAATACAGACCTCTTAGCTGATGTTTTTAAGAAAGATTTCCTGTCAAGTTCATTTCTGTAATTTGCTGATCTTTTCTTATGATGTAATAAACAGTCTAATTCTCCATATTTAAAAGAAAAGCTTACGACTTAATGAGAGTCAGTGTGCAAAAATGCTCACTTCTGGAATGCAGTGGCATACAGAACTCCTTGTACTAGCCAGGTTTGTCTAGCCAGGTTTGTGCAAGGTGCTCTCCTCTAGGGGTGCAGCAGACAGTTATATTTTCAATTCAGTTATAGTAGCTTGGTTTGTAAAAAGATCCAAGCAGTTGAGTTTACTGCCAAGACTTGAATGTTATCCAGCTTTGCTACATGTGGAAGGACCCAGAAGAAAATGGTAAGAGCTGTGACTCCACAGATGCTATAGGTTATCCTGTAGTCAGATGTTACCAGGGAAGACAACATTACGGTACAGGCTTACTAAAAAGGCACTTGGATTCTTTTTACTGGTTTTCTATTTTATGTATTTGAAATAGAATAAATGTTCAAGCATATTACTATGGGTATGTATGGAACAGTAGGGTATGCTGGAACAGCACAGAAGGATGTGTGTGTCTGTTTTAATAAAAAGAAATCTAGTCATCAATTACCAAAAGGGTGTTCAGTGGAAAATGTAGGTTTCTAGATATTCTTAATTGGAGGACAGTAAGATTTGTTACCTTCTGTCTATTCTGTTACAGAATTGTTTTCTGTTCTGTGTTTTCCATTATTGTCCTCTGAGGACAGAAGAGTAACCTCTCTGCTTCCTCAGAGATTGCTTCCAGCTTAAACTGTGAAACAAACTTTGTGCTTTTTAGTTCAGTTTGATACTTTGCTCACACATAGACTATTTTAATTAATGCCTGAAACCAACTGGTTTATGTATTTCTAGGTAATGGTCAGGTCTTTCTGTAGTGATTATTAATAAAATGTTCACATGGGGTAACTTGAAGATTATTTTCTTTTCCCTGATTCTGACTTGTCTCCAAGGTTAGCAGAACTCACAGTAATCTAAATTCAGATGGCTTCCAACTCATGTTTACTATGCACAGCCTCTGTTTTATTGTAGAGGTTCTTTACTGAGTTTTTCAAAACCGAGTCTTAATTCTTTTCTTTAAAACAGAAGTTGTAATGAGGGGGGGGGAAACCTGACTTTGTCTTTCCCCCCTTCCCCTTTCCAGAGCTCCTCATCTGGGTAGAGAACTGGTCTGCAAAGAAAGCAAGAAAACCTTTAAAGCAACAATAGCGATGAGCCAGGAATTTCCCTTAGGAATCGAATCGTAAGTCTGACTCGTTGGCTCTGGGTGTTTCTTCATGTAACAAGTGTGCAGCCTGCCTGTGAGCTGCAGAGTTCTGCAGTGTTCAGATCTGAGATTTCAGCAGTTCGGAAATAGTGACCAAAGTCGTGTTGTTAAGGAAGTTAACTGTGACAGTTAGAGCTTGCTGCCGTGTGCCTGCTCTTGGCAAGGCAAAGTAATTGTCTCATGTGATGAGACCTGAGCTGTGATCAGCTGTGGTGTTAACTTGTCACAGTACTCATGTGTCTGATTCTGCAGAATACTAAAACCTTGCCCCTGACAAGTTTCAGCACAAATTTATGTTCTTTAAATCCATACACAACCATATCAAAATCCTTATCTTTGGAGGAGAGGCTGTGGGGCTTTGTGCTTCAGTGTCTTTTGTAGAATGAGGACAAGAGACCCATAGCTTGGTGTTCATTTGTGCTCATACAGCAATGCAATGTGAGTCACTACAATCTAAAAGTGACAGTGCTGATACTGGGGCTCTAGGGACACACAGCAGACATGCTGTAGTTTTTCAGATCTCTTTAATCACTTTGCTCTCTGGGTTATTTTGTGAAATGATTTATGATGTTAATTCTCCTTTTCAGATTATTGAATGTTTTAGAAGTAATTGCACCCTTCAAGCACTTTAACAAACTTAGAGAATTTGTTCAAATGAAGCTTCCACCAGGCTTTCCTGTAAAATTAGGTAAGGTTGCTCTAACAACATTTGTGGCTTTGGTTTTCAGAAAATGTCTGTGCTTATTCATGCAGCGTGCTCAGGAGTCCTGCTGAGTTCTGGAAAAGAACTCTTACATAACAGAGCGTGTTGCTGTAGATGTCAGGGGAACATGGTTATGTTCCTGCAAGGAATGTTTGGTTTGAAAGAGACAATCTGAAGCTCAAAGGAGGACAGTGCTATCAGGAGTCCAGCTCTGTGACTTACGTTTTCCTGATGCTGGAAGGGCTTCATTCTAAGAAGAGCAGATAAGCTGAAGTTTCCTTCCATTAAAAGATTATATTAGTCATGAGATAGGAACTTGATAGCATTTATTATTTTGTTTTCCTCAAATATTATTGGTGATGTACTGGAGGTGAATGGAAGCCAAGCCATTACCTTTGCTGCCAAATGGAAACACATAAAACAACTTACTTGTGGCTATCGATTATTATTATTATCCTAGGATAATCTGTCAAAAAGTAATAGTACATTTTGTAAGTGTTACAGGACTTCTTGCCTGCCAGTAAGCTGTGTAAGCTTGAATATTCTGAGCAGATGACATTCCACATCCGATTGCAATAGCATAGTTCTGTTTAGAGCCTGAGCTTTGAATTTTTACTTTAAGTTGTTTCAAGGTAATCCCATTCTAGTAAGGATAATTCTTAAATATTCAATCTCAGTGTAACATTTGCTCTAAAATAGCCTTTTTCATTTTAAAATGCTCACTTGTACGTGTGGGTTTGCTCAACTTTCATGTTGAACGGTCCTTATCTCAACCCAGGAGTTCCTGCACTTTTCTGTTCCACTTCTTCCCCTCTGACTGCAGTGGTGGTGAGCAGACAGCTGTGCTCAGTTGTCTGCCAGGTTAAAAGACAACAGCACTGCAAGGTTATCTTACCTTGCATCACCTGTATTCTAAGAGATCAGTCTGTGTGTTTGCAGTACCTTCATTTCCGTGTTGTTATTCTGCAGTGTGAAAGGAAAGCCCTTGAATTGATTACATTACCCAACTCAATGAAAAACTGTTGTTTCCTTGCTCGGAGTATTTGAGCATGTTCTGAAATAACTTTTTTCTGAAGTACCTCTGTGTTTTTGTTTTTTTTTTTTAAGGAGCTTAGAATTGCCACTGTGTAAAATCTTAGATTTCTACATAATAAGCAGGCCTGAGCATAAAAATCATTAAATAACTGTTGGTAATTATTGGTAAGCCTTTATTTCTCTGATCTTTACTGTGCTGTTATGCTTCCTATCCAGATATTCCTGTGTTTCCCACCATCACAGCCACTGTGACTTTTCAGGAGTTCCGTTACGATGAATTTGATGAATCCATCTTCACTATTCCTGATGACTACAAGGAGGACCCCAGCCGTTTTCCTGATCTCTAATTAAACTGGAAGGTTAATGGTGATTAACAAAATAACAATACCAGCGTACCACAGTGAAAGCAAATGGATGCAAATAGCCCACAGATATAGATAAAGAAGTGGGTGATAAGGGAAAGGGATGAACTTAATAATCCAGAAGAAAAGGGAACGTGCATCAAATGACTGATCTACTGACACTGTAATGGGCATCTAACCTAGTTCCTGATGGACAGCAAGTCTCCTGATGTGTCCTTCACACTTTTATACATGCAGTGCTGCAGGCGTGGTAGTCTGACACCTCAGTGGCCCTGAGGATACTTAACAGCTGTGAGGACTATCATTCGTTTTTAAATTTTTTTACATTTCTTGTTGATACAGAAAGCACTCTTGGACCATTAGCATAAAGGTTGAAATGTCTTAGCTGCATATTAGTCCTTTCCAACATCCCACCCTAATTAAAGATGACCATATTATATTCTTTCAAGCTTTGTTTTCAAGAAGTGTAAACTATGTATCATTCTGTATAGTTCAGTACTTTGAATGTTAGTTGAGCGTAAATTAGGAGGAATGCGTTTTCTGTAGCTGAATGAACCAAATGGTAACCATTAAACGATTGCATTTTCATACTGCAATATACTTCAGAAATAGCATTTGCTCTGCAGGGAACGAGGTACCTCCTGTAGCCCCTCAGTGCAGCCCATTCTGGTGCTATCCGTGTCTCTCCGAAGCATTAATTTTGTCATGTTGGTTAATTTTCCTTCCGTTGGCTCTGCACAGAAGTTCCCTTTAACTGGCTTGGCAGTCCTCCCCGTGTCCATGATGCTGTGTTGATTAGCATGCTTGGAAGTTCACGAGCTAGAAAGTATCACCTTGTTTTTTCTCCTTCTTTCCCACTCACCGAGGAGACTTGCTCCATAACGGGCGAACATCTGCAGCCACTGGAAAGCACGGATGTGTATGAAGAGCTCTTAGAGCAATAGCTCAAGCATCAAGTCTTTGTGTGAGAAAAGGCTTTCCTGGGAGTTAGTTGAATTGTGGTGCACATTGAGTAGGGCTCAATGGAGGATTTTGTTGGCAAATGCTTAAAATGTTTCTAAATTAATTTCTTCCTCTTAGTGGCTTTAATAGATGGGAGTTCCAGTGCTCTGCCTTCTTGAGCTTATTCTCATTCCAAGTGGTTCCAGTCTCCTAATTTGACAGTAATCCAGCTTTTGGTTTGTTAGAAAGAATCTGTGCAAAAGGCTAATGGTGCTATTTGTTTGTATTAAGAGATTTAGATTAAAGTGCTGTGGTGTAATTGTACAAAAATGTAAATATTTTGAAAATTATATTCTTTGTGCACTGTAGTTAAAACTTTTTCTGGAAGTCAATAGAGGTAAGTATGAAAATTTATTACATAAAGTCCCATGGCTGCTTAGTAAAGGTACCAACCTGACTCACCGTGCAGGTGATAAATGAGTTCTCTCATCACAAGGCAATAAGAGCTGACTTGTCAGGGCTGTGGAGGTGCGTCTGGAGGAGACGTTCAGAGCTGCTGGCATCTGTCTGTCCAAACACAACGGCTGCTCCAGAGAGGTGCAGAGTCTGCCCTGTAATGGAGTCTGGGTGAAGCACTGTCAGCAGCACATGGGACATCTGGAAATAGGGAATGGAGGCTGATCCTCATCCAGCATCCTGTAAGCCTTCAGGTCTGACAGGTGGGTGGTGCTTACGGACTGACGGAGGCACTGCAGTGGTTCAGTATCCAAGGGAAAAGAGGGAAAAAGGGAAATGGATGATTGTCGTTATTCAGTACTGTATTTGTAGTAGATGTTGAACATTCAGTAGGAATGATAAGACTTGTTCTGCCAAGTCATGATGAATTCCTTGCAGTGTTTTACATCTGTGCTACAAACCAACAGCACCTCAGCTGAGATCCACCCTGCTGAGCCGGGCTGAACGTATGGAGGGGCCGATTCCACAGCCTGTGTGGGAGGGAGGGATGTGTGTCAGCGGGGCCACACTATGCTGTGCCCTCCAGGTACCCAATGCCAAGCAGGTTGTGGGGGAGGTGCTGCTGGTCAGGTTTGGGGCAGGTGTGGAGCTGGGGTGGCTGTGGGCGCTGCACAGCAGCGTCAGTTGCTAAGAAATTTCAGCAGATGCAGAAAAATGTTACTACATAAAAAGTGAATGTCAAAATCTTCTTTTATTTTTTTTTTTCTGCAGTATCACAGGGCAGGAACTGTGTATTCTGTGTTAGTTTGTGTCTCCAGTTATTCCAGAGTACTGCAGAGCTTGCTGGCATAGGAAGGGGCCCTCATACCCAGGGTTGGTGTTTGAGGTGATGTAGCAGCTGCAGCGGATTCAAGATGTGAACAAAGAAACAAACACTTTCAGAGTAGCCTTGTGTGGGAAGGCAGGTCCTGGACATCTCTGTGCATAGAGGAGGCAGTGCTGACTTCTCGTGGTGAGCTTTGGGCAGTGTCAGTGCTTTCCTGAGCCCTGGCTGCAGATCTGCTAGTTCTGGTTTCTTAACTTGTGTGATTATACAATATCTTAAGGTTTGCAGAAGCTGTTTGTAGTGGTGGCTGTGTTAGGGTTTGCCCTGATGTGGGTTGGACACCGATTTTGTTGAGGGAAGTCCCTCTGTGTCACTGCAGTGAATGCACCTGGCTGCTTTTGTTAGCCTGAAGCTGAAGGAGCTGACTCCGTCCGCTTCTCTTTTCCACCTCAGTGACTGCCTTTAGGTTCCTGCGTCATCCTCGTTAAGTAAGAACTGCTGAACTGTTTCTCGGTGCGTTTCCTTCCAACGTTTGGTGATGTTTTCTACCCAAGACATTCCTCTCCGTGAGTTGCAGGGCACAGCTGAGGCTTATGGATGCTGCTCCATCCCAGCACTGAGGCACAGCCCCGTGCTGCGCGTGCAGCAGTGCTGGGGCACTTCTCCACCAGGGGCTGCACCCACACTGATGCCAACGTTTTATCTAAGCTGGTGTTTTGCTCGGGAGGGCTCTGGGTGCTGACACAGTGAGCAGCACTGCAGAGCTCTGCACAGCTGGGCCGGCGCTGCTGGGGGTGAAACGGTTCTGGTCTGCACAGAGCCTCAGTCCACAGCTGTGCTGTGGGCGACTGCTTCTCATCTCCTGTTTGGAATTCTGGAAAATTACCTTTTATAGCAGGATTGATTTAGCAGAGCTTCATTTGTTTCCCTTCACCTTAAGGCCCTGTTGGGCATTAAGGAAGGTGTGGTCCCCTTTAGGATGAATACATATCCCAGGCGGTCTGCTGCTCTCACAGCACAGAGCCCGGCACCCCCAGCACTGCTGCACCGAGGTCCTCAGCAGGGCAGTGCTGAGCCCGTGCTGCTGAGTGCTGAGCAGAGGGGAAGGCTCTGCACACCCTGCTGTGGGCTCCACCTCGCCCTGCTTCTCTCTGATCTCAACGCTGCTTTTTTATGATGGCTGTGAGATGTTTTTATGAAAATCTTCAAAGACAGCCACTGATTTTGGTAAACTGAAACAAGAAATTGTTGCAAACGAATTCTAGGGGTTGTTTCTTAACCAAACCGTTCTGCTGGTCTTCCAAAACATTGCTTTACTTTGTGGCAAAGGGAATGTGGCGTTTTCTTTTTCCTTTGGAGGAGCTGCTGTTCAGATCACTGTACTCACTTTACTGCAGTTCTTGGTTTATGTATTGAAATGATTTGTTACAAAACCCTCTGGATGTATTTGTGCTGGAAACCCACGTGGTTGATATTCAGAGCAACTGTCCATTTTTTTTTACACGTGTTTGTTCTTGGTTTGTAATTCATGCGAGGATAACTGCGTTATTTAATCTGTATTAACAAATTTCCTGTAATGCTGCAGTTTCACATTTATTTTCCTTACAATTTGTAATTACCATGGAAACAATGTCACTCTTTTTGCTTTTTACTAGCTGTCTGGTCCATGTTTTTAACTTACCTTCACTAATAGTACTTTTTTGTTGTATCATTTGTTAGAATAAAGACCAAAACATGCTGTTTGATTCTGAACTGCTCAACCTGTGGCCATGGCCTTTTACTCTCCCTGCGTGGCAGCGTGCGTGCGGGCCAGGCAGCTCAGAGCAACGAGGTGATGGGAGGAGGAATTTTGCCCCGTACCGGTCAGATTTTAAATAAAACCCTCCATTTTTCATCTAGGATTGTTTTTCACCATTTGTGGAGGTTTGAAATGTTACTGACTGCCTTGTGCGCAGTGCAATAGCAGCGGTGGTGAACCTGGAGCAAAGCTTCCAGCATTCCTGGGGGTGAAGGAGCTGCGAGAGGGGACCTTTCAACTTCATTTATTGGTGTTCAGTAATTACATGAGTTTTATCTCCTAAGTCCAGGACTACATCCACAGTGAGATGTGACAACGGCTCTCCTGGCGGCCCACAGTTCTGAGACAGCTGACTTCTACCACCCATTTATCAGAGGTCAATGGAACTCGTGTTTAGAGAACCCCAGTAAAATCATAGATTCTGGTCAGCTGTGCACATGTAGGCTTAGTGGTTGTGTTGTAGCAACAAAAGCTGTGTTGTACCTACAAGCCTGACTTCAGCTATAGCCAAGTACACTCAGGTTAAAATGGATGTGGCAGCACTCGCTGTTCTCTCGGGCCTGACCTTTCAGGTAGACAATTGGCAACAGTGAACGTAGGGCAGAGCAACATGTTCTGCCCTTGCATGGAAGATATTCAAGCAGAATGTCTGGCCTAGGGAAACACAAGGGGTCTGAAGTAGGACAAAACTTTCTCCATCTCAATAGCAGTGCGTAACATAACAGTGTCAGCATACAGCCCAATTGGAACAAAATAATGACTTGTGCTTTGTTTCATTTTAGGGAAAAAGCTGTCAGTCCCATTCCTCAAGGTCAGAGAGAACACAGACCTACCTTAGGCCATCCTGGTGATGGCATGCAAGCAGAACAGCCAGGCCGCTAGGAATGGGAGAAGGCTGCTGAAATTCTGCAATAGCGAATGTAAGTCTGCTGCACAAACATCAATGAATCCCCTTTGGTACTAAAATACCTATTTCTGCCACTGGCGTTCTTACAATAATAGCTACTTAAATATTTAATATAGCACGGGATTTAACAACTGCAACCACAACCAGCCACCACAGCTACTCAGTGCTTCTGACCTTTGGTTCCCAGCTGTTGTTTTCCAAGCACATTGTTTGCCCTAAATAAAGCTTTTCTCTGCAAACAGAAATGGGAGAAAAGCAAGGAAGGATTTCCTGCAATTTCCTACTGTGAGTTAAAGCCACCTCGAGGAATGCCAGGGCAGCAGAAGCTGCTACTCAGAAAGGGTTGAACTAATTAAGTAATGCAGAGACTATCACACCACATGGAAAGCTTCATCTCTAGAGGCAGGAGATCTTATTTTCAGCGATATTTATTCCATTTAAATCACTAAAATGAAATTACTTGGCTGGCACTCGGCTGCAGGGCACAGAAGGGCAGCAGAGGCCCAAGCACTGCAGGAGATGGCAGCACTGCAACAAGCTGGCCCTCCAGCACTTGGCATCCCATCTCAGCCCCACGTCTGTAAAAGGCAGGCAGCTGCCTCACTTACATGGGAGGCAATTAAATGTAACGATGTGCACATCCTCAGCACGCACCCCCTTGGTTCTCCAGTTGGTACCACTGGGCTCAGGCAGCCTAAGGCATGCAGTGGAGAGGTGATGCTTTGCTCCTGGCCTGAGCTGGAAGCCATAAGACAATTAAATGCAAGTCAGCCCTGCACTTCCCACCTTCAGCTCAGCGAAAGATCTGGCTTGTTATGTACGGCACGTTAATGACTTTCACAACACCAATGTCTAAGGATCAAGGAGGTTTACTTTATTACTATAAATTGTTTCATGTTCTTATACTTCACATATAAATATCCTGATGACAACTAAAAAGGCACATCTATGAAGACATCATGCACCTCATCTGTGTCCGTATTTTATTACAAGAACTATCATGTTCTCTGCACTGTCAGAAATAAAAGGCTAGAACTGGTTTTGTGACATATACCTCTCTGTATTGACAAAATACTCAAAACAGTTGGTAAAAATTTACATTTCTACAAATTCTAAAAAATGACACTGCATCTGTAAATGGCAAATTCACTTCTCCTATGGCAAAAGGACAGATTAAAAAGCAGGTGGTCAGACCCATCGGATTCAAGAAGTTCAAGTGCCACTCACAGTTTGTTTCCTTCCCAAACGTACTGTATTCACACAAAGCACTCGCTGCTTCCTGCTGCTGCGCCTTCCGTTAGCATCCTAAAGATAAAAGATCAATGGAAATACAAAAAGATTTACAAAGCCATGTTTCTTTTAAAAAGCATTTGCCCCTTCCTACCATTCAGGCCTGTTCTGCCCACCCCCAGCCAGGCAGAGCAGCTTTGTCACTACACTCACAGCTCTTACAAATCATAGAAAAAGATGGAGCTCTTATGGACTTTTTGAAATAGATAAGTGAAGAAAACAACGAGGTAAAGTCTCACACGCTCAGCAGTGTAAATAAATACCAGTACAGTTTTATAGGAACAGGAGTATAAGTTTAAGGGTTTTATTATCAAAGTTTTGTAAAACAATTTCAGAAACTGTACATCAACATGGCACAGACTGTAGCCTACTTTTGTCTTTTTACCTGCACAAAAGTAAAAGCTGTTGAACTTCTGTAACTAAGAAAACTGCTTGCCTAACTACTTTGCATATAACGTGGAATCACTGTGTGCATAAGATTACTACTGCAGTGACAGTAAACACAAATTAGTTTATACAACTTGAGATCAAGTAGAAAGTACATTATCAAGTAGACTTGCTTTTAAAAGCATACGAAGGTCAATTTTAAAATGCACTACCTTGTACCCACGTGTTCAGCTCACGAACAAATAGAACAACCTGATTGGGAGAACTGCAATTCTTATCGACTTTTAATCACCGGGCACTGATCAAAAGCAGGGATTTTCACTTCCCACAGCTGAAGCACAAAAGCTCAGAACCATTTACTGCTCGTCACTTTTTGCTGCCTGGGGTGGATGTGAACCAACAGATGAAAGACTGGAACAGGTGAAAGTCAGCCCTCCAAAAGGTCAGTGCATTTTAACTTTGTCAAAGCCAAAACAAAACCCACGGGGGGAAAAAAAACAAGGGAACAAAAACCTAAGACAAAACAAAAACCCCAAAAACAGAAGCCCAGCCACGTGGCTTAGAACAAAACAAACCCTACCTATATCAGAATGCTTCTTTTCAGATGAACTGTCAATTTTTTTTCTGTGTAGTCACACTTAAGACCCTTAAGTAGATCCACTGTATGTTGTAGGATTTTAGAACATTTAGGATGTTTCTGCCACAATCAACATGCAGTCAGTGCATTCCCTAAACTGCTCTATTACTGCAATGAATCAAAGTCTAGAAACACTATCATAAGTGAGCTGATTTACTACAGGAGATCATACAACAAACAGTCCATGCCTGCTGTAGATGCATGCAGCTTTTTACTTTTGCTTGAAGCATCACCAAGTTAGTAAAAATTGCTTGGCTACGCAATCCCTTTCGGCCATAACAAGGATGGTTACCTTTCTAGAAAGCTTTTGATGTGAGTTAGTATCAGGAGCCTTACAAACCATGTATAGCTTGGAGCTGTATACATCTAGATTTAGGATTAACAAGTACAGCATAAAAGAATCACACAGGAATGACACTGATGCACGTCTGCAGCCGTGTTCACTGCAAAGGCAAAATTCAGTCACTCATATCCATATCCTCTTCGTGGTGATCATCCCCATTTACTTTGGACTCCCTTGCTGATTCTCCACTTCCTTTCTCAGCTGCAGACTCCTTTGCTTTAGGAGAAGAAGAATCTGACATTTTCTTTTCTTCCTTTTTCTCTTTCTCGCTGTCATATCCCTGTTCCTCTTCATCATAATCCCTTGTGACCTGCTTTGCCGAGATAAAAAAAATAAATTAAAACTTGCTTTCATAGCCCCTGTGGGCACAAGGCCAACTCTACAGCAAAGGCGGGGAAGATAAACAGGTCCTTAAACATACTTTCACATCCTTATCACTCTCAGATTTCCGTTCCCGATCCTTCTCTTTGTCTTTGCTTTTTTTTTTCTTGCTGGTTGACCGTTCCCTCTCATCTCTACTTCTTTCTTTGTCTTTATCCTTCTTTTTTTCCTTTTTATGCCTACAGTGATAAAATACGTAGAAGAATGAAAACCACAACCACACCATTCCATGAACAGAACCCAAATGACATCCAGACCGTTACCCACAGTTCATAAAAAATCCAAAGGCAGAAAAAACTATGGGCAATAATGGTGCCATTTGCTTTCAGAAAATAACCAAACATCCCCCTTTCTCAGCTCTGATCAAACACAACCACCACAAAGTGACAGCTGTGCTTTCGTTAACAAAGGCAAAACCTCAGTGTTCTATTAAGGAACAACCCAACTTCCACGCTGCTGGAGAGAAGATGATCAAACGTCCACCCAGAAGTCAGCTGAGCACCACTGCACAGAGCCAAAGGTGCCAGGTGCCGGCTGCCTGCTGCTCCTCAGCCCTGAACGCCCCTGGTTTGGAGCTCCTGGGTGCTTTGTACAGAAGCTCCATTCCTGAAGCTGATTAAGTTATGATAAAGGAAGCAGCAGATCCACTCCTCTCAAGGACCAGCTCATGGGCTATCGAGAAGAGAGAAGCCGTATTCGTACCAACTCCAGACTAACCCCACTGTGGTCTTTGCTTTAGCTCATGTTAGGCATTTTCCCCTGGATGCATTTTTCAGCCAAGAGGCTCACTGACCTTCTGGGAGATGGGGACCGTGACATTTTCCTTTTAGGTGACCTGGGTTTTTTAGGTGACCGTGTTCCACTCCTGCTTCTTCTACGCCGTCTTTCTCTGCAGGAAAAAATAATTAAAGCCTTTTTTTTTTTAAGCTCCAAATACATGTGTGGCTCCAGAATTAGCTCTAAAGGTAGTAAATATACAATATAGGTGGAATATCAGCAGTA